CAAAACCAAACATGGTGGGGGCAGGTCCTGGGCTCTGTCCAGGCCACTCAGGGCAGGCGGAGAGCAGGGGTCTCCTCCTCTTCAAGGCTACTGCTGGTTTCAGCTACAAAATGGCGGACGGCTATGTCGGCCATTTTGTGACACCCTTAGAAGACAAAGGCCCGTGAAAGTCAGAGGGTAGAACCATCGGATGCCTGGCAGAGAAAAGGAAGAACAACGAAAACGGAACCAAGGTTCTGCCCCTCGCTGAGGCCTGAGATGGTCTAGTCAGAGAAAGTGTGTCGGCAGGCTCTTTCCAGAGCCTTCCCTCCTGCCGAAGCTACAAGCATACTCAGGACTTCTAGCAACTTCCACACCTCCCTTTAAGGGGCTCCTGGTGGTCCACGGTGTGTCTGTCAAGGAGAAATGAGGTTCTCATACCTAATGGTTAACAGATGCGAGGCTTCCGAGGCCTGACGTCTTCTGGGTTACAATTCTCTGCCCTAGTTTTTCTGCAGGGCATGTCCTTCTATCTGCACTGGGGAGGTCTCAAGCCAGGGGGCTCAAGTGCCAACCTGTGCTCCTGGAACCGGTGGTCCAGGCAGATCAGTCCTGTCTGGGGCCAATAGGTCGAGGGATCAGGTGCCAAGATGGCCAGCCAGGGGTTCCAGTGGCCACTCGCCATGGCTGGTCTCCAAGCCTCTCTAGGCAGAGGGCAGTAGGAACTCAGTGACCAGCCAAAGCCCCACGGAGGGGTGGATCTAGGGGTTGTTGGGCTCCTTGGCGCTCCTTCCCATCCTTGCTCTCTCTTATTCAGAATCCAGTTGTAAATTAGAGGCAGAGAGGACAGCTTGGGGTGGGTGTACAGGTCCCACCTCAGGCTGCCTCATTTTAACCTATGAAAAGCAAAAAAAATCTGCGTGGAGAACAATCCCATTTCACAGACAGGTAGTCTGAGGCCTAGGGGGCAGTGACGCTAAAATCTTAGGACCCACGTTGTAGGGTGACTAGGTCCTAGGAGACACACACAGCAACTCACACAGCCAAGGATTCAGGTGAATGACAGGGACAGTCAACATGAGCCCAGGGAGGGGCTGTGACAAAACAAAGGTGGAACTGAGAGGGGTCCACAACATGGAACTGCCAATGTCACATGGTGAGAACACATGGTCACGTGGTAAACCTAGGTGCCACCAGTCATCACGTGTTCAACACTAGCTGTCCCGATAACTCTACAGTGTGTGAACAGCGCGGTGGCCTCTGTTAATCACTAAGGGCTGCTCCTTGGTGAGAAGCTACATGGTTCTGGGTTCAAGTCCCCACACCATTCAGTAGAACTGTGTAGAGAGAATCCTTTATAAGCAACACCTGTCAATAAAAAACGCCAACAGCCAGTGAGCTTAGGCAGGAAATAGGGGGTGGGACACCGGCAGGAAGAGAGAGGATTCTGGGAAATAGAGAATAAAAGGAGAGGCAGGGAGCAATTTGAGCACTATGCTGAGATTCTGAGGAAGACCTTAATGAAGAAGCTGGCCTCTCCGTGCTCTCCCCTTTAGCCAAGGATCACGCTGTCAAAGGAGCAAAGTGAACCCTAGAGGGAGAGGTAACTAACATGTGGAAGACATAGAATAGTTTGAATGGGTTAAGTAAGTTACAAGCTAGTCAGGGAATGAGGCAAAGCTTATGGCCTAGCATTTATTAATAAATAATCAGTTTCAGAGTCGTCATTCTGGGAGCAGGGGCTGGGAGGAAAAACGTATTAATTTTTTTTATAGTACTGTAAACTCATGAGCCTGTGCTGGGTACACACTCCCCTAAGGACTTACAGGTGTGAAAAACAGATTTTTTTTTCTGGAGTCGGGTGGTGCTGGGGATTAAACCCAAGCCTCTATCACTGAATGATATGTCTAGCCCTTCAAAAAAATATTATTTTGAGAGTCTAAGTTTCCCAGGCTGACCTTGAAATCCATACTACAGTTCAGACTGGCCTCAAATTTTCTTTCTTTTTTCTTTTCCTTTCTTTTCTTTTTTTTTTTTTGTCTTTTTGTTTGTTTGTTTGTTTGTTTTGTGTTTGTTTTGTTTTTCGAGACAAGGTTTCTCTGTGTAGCCCTGGCTGCTTGGGAACTCACTTTTTAGACCAGGCTGGCCTCGAACTCAGAAATCCATCTGCCTCTGCCTCACAAGTGCTGGAATCAAAGGTGTGCGCCACCACTACCCAGCTTTTTTCTTTTTTTTTTTCTCTGTGTAGCCCTGGCTTTTCTGGATTTCCCTCTGTAGACCAGGCTAGCCTCATAGAGATCTGCCTGCCTCTACCTCCCAAGTGCTGGCCTCAAATTTTTCAATCCTCTCAAGTTCCAGGCCTTTGTCACAAGGCCCAGCCAATGTGAACACTCTGTCCCTGGAATATGCCGGGCACTGGTAAGTCTGCTTCCCACCCCCTACTCCCAGCCACATAGCATCATGGGAGTTTTCAAGCTTTGGGGATGAGGGAATAGAAGACTCAGTTGCATTTCGAGAGAGATCACAACATTGTTCAGAGAACTCTAGGACGCTCGACACCATGGAGGGCCACTGGACCTTCCTCAACGACTAAATGCAAGGCTAAATATATGGCTAAACAAAGATCATGGGGTAGGAGCAATGGCTCGGCAGTTAAAAACACTGCTCAATGCCCAGGGTGCAGGGGCTCACACTTGTAATCCAAGTACTCATGATGTGAAGGCAAGAAGACTGAGAGTTCAAGGTCACCCTCAACTACATACAGAGTTCAAGATCAGCCTAGGCTAGATACCGTATCTAAACATGTATAAGAGTATCTGGCAATCAGATGCTCTGCCCATTCCATCTCTGCCTGTACTCTCCTCGTCTGTGCTGTCCCATCTGCCAAGTCCTGGAGCCTCCTCCCTAGCTGTCTGTGTTTGCCCTACTCTCAGGCACTCACTAACAGCCCTGACCCCAGGTGCAGACACAAAGACAAGGGGAGTGTGTGCTGCAGCCCATACACACCAATGCTCGGGTAGCAGAGGGGTCCTGGGACCAAATACAGGTTGCTCTGGCTTATATGAGATGGCATGGAGCCCTGCCTGCAGTCTGGCAGGTAAGCCTTCCCTTGACTATGGCCACATCTAATCCCTAGATTCATCTAGGTGGGTTCAAAGCTATATTTGGGGTCTGCATCCAAGGGACAGGGACAAGTGTGAGCACAGTGCCCAGGCTAGCTACCACCTCTGAGCACAAGAAATCCCAAGTACACAGGTTCCCTGTCATAACTGCAAGGTATCAATGGCAGTGGCTGAGCCCTGAGTGATACTGTAGGTGACACAAATGTCCCAGGGCCATCTCATTCTTCTCCCATCTCCTTCTTGAAGGCTGGGGCCGACAGAGGGCCCAGTCTAGCTTCCTGGGGGCACCTGGATATACTTGGACATCCTAGAGTCCCTTAAAGAGGCAGGCAGGAATTAAGTCTTCCCAGCCACGACACAGCATATGCAAACCTCCAGGCCCACATGGCTGCATGGACCCACGGCAATATCTAGGAGGGTTGGGGTCAGTGGCCCTGAGTTCCACAAACCACCAAACTGTTGTACTGACCTGAGCTGGACATGGTCCCTGAGTTTTAGGAGTCACCTGGGGCCGTTGTCAAGAAGAGGCCGGTGCCTAGGGAAGAAGCAACACTAGTTAGGTGCTAGGTGCAGCTATGAGTGGTATTCTTGCATTTATATTGTTTCCTGTGAACCCCAACCCAAGGGCCCCTCAAAAGGTCCAGGCACAGCTTAGAAGACACTTGGAAATGACAGTACCTCAAAGCTGGGAGCCTAGCTCATCTCTGTGGTCCCATCTCACCTGTGGCCTGGAGACACTGGCCCACGAGGTCTCTGAGACACAAGCGTAGACTGGGGAGCCTTGGAAAGTTTAGGGCTCTAAGGTTCCGTTGGCAAGGTTGGAACTGCACCCCGCTGAATGTGCCACACTGGATCTGGGCCTGGGAGGCATCCTGCCAAGGGCAAAATGGATGCCCTACCTTATCTAAATGATGTCTATGGCAGGTCCAGGCCTCCAAGTAGCTAGGTCATCCCAATTAATGAGGCCTCTTGCACATTCTCCTTGGAACTAACTTGAAGCCGCAGAGCCCCACATGTCTGGCTGGGCTCCTCAATACAGGGCCCTTCTTAGCCATAGCCTGAGAGAAGCCAGCACAGCCTCACCCACTAGACCGACAGACACAATGCCTTAACCTGCGACCTCTAGTATCACCAGCATGTGCGGACTCCAACTGGATGACTCTGACTGATGTACAGCTAGTTCTGAGCCTGCTGAAGCTGGCTGGAGGCGGGCCAGAGAGAGTGTGACAGCACTCTGGCTCTAGCCTGTTACACAGTCTGACGCCTCAGGGTACATACTGTTTCCAAAGATTGAGTCCGGCTCTCTGGGGCCTTCACCCCAAGCTACAGGTATTCTACGGGTCACTCTACAACCCCCTGATCTCCATCAGCAGGTACCCCTGGCCATTCTGTGGACCAGTACCCTGAGGCTTAAACACTGACAGAGCCCATCTGGATGAATGGCAAGTGCAAAGAGCTGGAGGATACAGCTAGGGGTACCTACTGTGTGCCTGGGCTGCAAGAGACTGTCTCCGAGCTAATCCCACCCTCCGCCACAGGCAAATCTGTCCCTGCCGGATTCCATCTGCTTCAAGAGGACAACTCAGGCCTTCATAGCCTGCAGGGCAGAAGGCAGGGCTGGAGCAGGGACCTGGAATCCTTGGCACTATCTCCTGTCCTGTCCTGGACAAGGATCTCTCTCACTGGTTGGAGGCCAGGCTGAGCCCCTGAGGAGCTGGGGGCAGGGTCAGTCTGGTACCAGGTAGAGCCTCTGAGGACAGGACTGGTCCTGGCTTCTCTGAAAGAGCGACTGTGTCCTCCTGTTTGCCAGCACACAATCATTTCCAGGACTATTTCTGATGGAATGAGCCCTTCTCCGCCGAAGTGGGGCAGACAGCTACCTGTGTGTGAGGCCATAGGGGGTCTTCTGATACACGTGACAGGCGCTTACTTTCCTGGGGTGGGGGTGGGGGTCCTCCGGAGAATCCAGGTTCTGCAAGATATAAGGAAATCAAAACAGAGGTGTCAGCTTGGCAGGTCACGTGGCTCGGCTCAGATGCAGAGAAGGGTCAGGGGTAGTGTGGCCTTCTCTTCCTCAGTTACTCCCAGAGCCATCTGTAGATAAGAAGTCCCATACACTATCTTACACTATCTACTGTGACCTTGGCACCAGAGGCCTGGAGTTTCGGGTCACAAGAGACAGGGAACAGCACTGAATGCCATGCCTGGCTTTAACCAGTTCCAGCCTGCCAGGACCCACATCCCAAACCAACTCCCTGCTATGGCTCCTAAGCAACCCAGAAGGCCTAGCCCCTTGTCTAGAGTCCTTTGTGATAAGAAGAAGGAAGGGATGTTGGCTGCTAATGCCTGGCTAAGACCCTCCCTACCCTCCAGCCCTACTGCAGCACCCATAATTTCCTGTGGCCAGAATGTTCTACCACCATAGATCACCCCTGCCTACACTGCATCAGACTTAGGGTCCCTCCAACCTCACCTCACAATGCCTGCACTGACCCTATAGACATGGGAACTTTGGGGCAAGCGTGTCCTCCGACTAGCATATATCCTGGGCGTGGCAGGGCCTGTCGTCCGTAAGCATCCCATTACTTGCCTTACTCTGAGAACAACACACTGGCTAGCTGAAGTTTATGAAGTGCAAACAGAACTCTGGGTCATTACCAAGAGGTAACCTCAGTAGTCATTAACAGTCAGGAAGGGGGACAGGCCAAGAATGACAGCAGGAAACCAAGCCAGGAGTCAGGCCGGGTCACAATGACTTAAGGCTGCTCCTCCTCCCTATACAACCTGTGGTGTTTTAGCCTTGGTCAGAATTACCTGCTTCTTTCCTGCCCTCTTGAGTCCACCATGGTCCAGGCATCCATGTGTCCATGAACCCTGGCTGTAAGACTCGGGATATCCCCTTAGGATTACGGCCCTCTCTAGAACTTGTTACTATAGGACTAGGGACAAGCCAAAAGCAATGAGGTCTGTCACATACGCCACTGCTTACAGCAATATCTCCAGAGAATGAGTTTTTTTCTTCAAAACTTGAGACCAGAGGGACTTGCTGAGGGCTTCTTTGATGTGCTGGACCCTGAGACCCACCAGGGATAGCTTGCCTTTCTCCACCTCCAGACACTGTAGTATCTGCAGGCAAAACTGGGAACTGGATGCTATTCTTCATCCACACAGGGCTATAAAGGTCCTAGAGAAGTTAGGGGACAGGAGGGAAGAGCCTGGGGCTCTGCGTCTACGTTTCTGATCGTATTTCTTGAGAAGGGAATGTCCTATGGCCATACCATTTCTTATCCGACAGCTAGACCTCTCCTATCTCTTCTTCTGGCCTGGGCCCTTTCCACTTCTGGGCCCACAGTGCACAGATTTCCCAGTTTAATGATCTTGGGATAGCTGCCTGCTGCTCAGATACTGTAGCCTGGCTAACCAAGCCTCACCAGGGGAACATGGGACTGCTTCCCTAGGAAAGAAACCTTAGTGGCATTGAAACCAGTAAAGCCTGCACCTGCTCAGCTCAAAGAGGGGCACTTCCACAAACAAGATGGTGGGGTGCCTACAGAACCAGCAGAAGAACCAACCCCCCTTTTTTAAATAGCACAATTTCATGTCTCTAAACAACGTCACTATCTAAACTTAGAAATTCCAGGCTTCAGGTACAGGGCCAAGTGACACAGGATGAAAAAGTTCAGCCACAGGAAATAGAAATGTTGACCAGACTTTGGCGAGGGATGAGGTGGCACTGAGTACCATCTTACAGGGGGAGTGGCTGAGGCTACATGAGACACCTAGGACCTACAATGGACCTATGAAAGCATGTAGTTCCCAATGCTGACAGTACAGAGCTTCTGCCTACAGCACAAGGGAGGTTCTAAGGGACCTGGTTTCACCCTGAATGACATGGGGATGCGCCTGGGTGGGCATAGTGGGAAAGTTCTTATGGCTGCTCAAGGGGACCCCAGCTGTAGATGGCTTTGCCCAGTTCCCTCTAACTTCAGACATGTACCACAGACTTCCCCTTGGCATTCAAGTGTCTTTTCACCCACTCTGCCTAGGGCAGTAACTGATCCACAGAGCCGAGTGACGTCTAGGTCTGGGCAGTAACGGAACCACAAAGCCATGGACAGGGGATCCCACTGGGATCCAAGAGTTGACAAATGCTACAGTATCTGTCATAAGAATCTCTGAATAAATCACAGATGTACAGTACTCCCTCTCAGGCTGAGGAGCCTCCCAAAGCTGTTCCTCTGTCCCTTAACATGTTCTGTGGTATAGTCACCTGTGTGACAGGGCCACATTGGGCCACTTTTATGGTTCACAGCCCATCAAAGTTAGTGCTGAATCTATCAGACCAAGCACCAGGCAAAAGGTCCTGGAGTTCTAGCCCAGCCCTACCTCAACCTCATTCCTACCTGGGCTCACAACCACAATTAGGTGTGCACGCAGGATTCAGTGGGGCCATGACATCCATCTAAGTTGGCAGAATGACTGTCCCTGGGAGAGCTTTGGCTCCATCCAAAGCCAGGATGCATGGCCTTCAGGAACCTGCTTACTCTGAGCCACATGTTTGTATATTAAGAGGTCATTTTTATCTGCTATACCCATGGACTTCATAGGCAAGTTATAAAGCAGTGGCGTGTGGGCTTCCCATCCACCCACCAGCATCTCTTAGTGGAGTTTCTCACTGGCAACCACCCACTCCCACTAGTGTCCGGTTGATTCTATAGATCAAGCCACCACCAGATAAAAGGCCATTTCCACACCCACCTGGGATGCTTAGATAAGTCTCACGAAAGATGCCAGTGTCTGCGACGGTGACATAACAGGAGGCCCGGGTCCCAGGGGAAATCAGTCCTGGTTTCATTTTAGGTGTTGTTTCCGGATAAAGGAATCAGAACATCCTAGCATACATGGGTCCTGCCCTAAACTAACACCAGTGCCGTGGTCATCAGCTAGCTGGACAAGGGAGATACAAACCTCACAGAGTCCCTAAGATACCCAAAAATTGTCTCTGCTTGTTAAGAGGCTCGGTGGTGGACGGTGCTATTTCATGAACATTTTGGCAACACCTCTGTTTTGAGGACAAACATGTAATGGTAATTTAGGCGGGGTCAGATTATCTCTGGGCAGATGGTTAACTGTATCACTTCAATGTTTTCCTTCCAGCGCAACATTCCTGAGTCAAAAGTCTGAGGCCCAAAGGAAAAAAAGAAAGCAGAGGCCAATAGCCCTCTGTCTGGCCCGGCATCCAACCCAGCTATGCATGTGCGCATGCGTGCGTGAGTCCGGCTGCCCCATCATAGTTCTCATGGGCCAGAATCCTGGTGGGCTGTGCTGAGCATTGCATGCGTTTAGCCATGGAGCTGAAGCATCGGGCCTGAGGAAGTTGGTGGTTGGCTTCTAGTTTCTCACTAGACAAAAGAGACCTGCCGCGTTGTGTGTGAGTCGTCCTGGTCTCTAGGGAGACTTAAGAAGCAGGGTCCCAGGTTGAAGGCAAGGAATGCTTTCAAGATAGCTGCTTCAAACCTGGACTCTGGAACCTTCCAGGGACCCACCAATATCAGAGTTAAAGTGAGGCAGAAGGGGAAGGTGGGGGCCAAGGTTGATAAGGAATGGGCCCCTGGCTGTGCAGCTCTTACCCACTGGGCAACAATGAGCTCGGGGCACGCTTGGCACATAGCTATAATCAAGAGAGAGTACGCCCACCTCACTGGACAGAGACATATTAGATATCACAGACCCCAGAAAGTGAATGGCAAACAGAAAGCTGGTAGACAAGGTTGCTGCAGTGGGACTGTCCTCTCTCAGGAACTCTCAGGCCTGTCTTTCAGGAAACAGCCTTATTGAGGTGTAGTTGATGCATGGACCAACCTTAGAGGGTGCCATGTTCATGATACCGGAGAATGTCCCTAGAAGAGGTCCTGGTCTGGGGGTGGCGGGGGGGGGGCGGGGAGGGACCTTCCTTCCGGTGCCTTCGCTCTTGGAGTGTTCCCCTAAAACGCACCTGAGCCGGGCTGTAGGAGCCATACATGGTTATAGCCATCCTGCCCAAGGAGCTCCCAGTGTAGACATGGGTGAAATGACCATTAAGATTGTAAGCCCACAGCGTACGAGGTGAGCAGAAGGCTAGGAAGGCTCCTAGGTTGTGAGTGACAAGGAGTCCTAATCAATTGAAAAAGGGTGTGGAGACACAAGGCTTGTCAGGAGTTCCACTAAGAACACAGGGTGGTAGCACACACCTTTAATCCCAGGACTCCAGGAGCAGAAGCAGGTGGGTCTCTGTGAGTTCAAGGCCTACCTGGTCTACACAGCAAGTTCCAGGCTAGCTGGGGCTACACTGTGAGACCGTGTTTCAAAACAAACAACAACAATGAATGTCTCACTAAGGAGATTGGCCTTCAACTGAGAATGGATGGGAACTTTCTTTTAGTCGGGAGCATCCGGCAGTAGTCTGGTGAGACCGTCAGGCTTTTTGGTTCTATCCACTAAGGTCCCTGCAGCTGTGAACAGGGTACAGGCTAAGGGGTAGTCTGTAAGTGCCTGATCTCAAGGGGTAGTCTGCAAGTGCCTGATCTCATAGCCCTTTCCTTGTTCTATACAAAGGGAACTGGGCAGGGGGCAGGGTTCTCTGAGGCCACCCAGAGACCAGATGTCTGAGCCCGACACAGTAAAGTTTGGTCTCTTTCACAGTGATTCCTGCCCAGAGTCTTGTTGGAGCCTGACTCTAGGAGACAATGTAAAGGCTGGGTGTGGGGCCATGCCCACAGCCTCTCTGCTTTCTCCATGGCTGGTCTCTAGGGCATATGAAAGGGGGGGGCACAGGACAGGTAGTGGGGGCAGCAGAAGAGCCAGTATGTCTGGCGGTAAATCATCAGGCCATGCTTTATAATTATCTGGGTACTTAAGCTCCCCTATCTTGTCTCTCCCTTCCCTAGGGAAATTTCCTTCATTTCCTACGCTTTCCCAGACTCCTAGATGTCT